AGCCATGACTACATGGAACTCTGTTCCACATCAGGTAACTGATGCAAGCAGTAGAATCACATTTTTAAAAACAGGTAAAAATACACCTTATGGAACAACGGGGACTGTGAAGAGACACACACAAAGGTACAGACACATGCATACGCACACATTGTGATATTGTTGTATGGTGGTATTAAACATTTTGTATTGTAGATACAGTTGAAGTTGGAAGTTTACATACACCTTAGCCAAATACATTTTAACTCAGTTTTCACAATTCCTGACATTTAATCCTTGTAAAAATTCCCTGTTTTAGGTCAGTTAGGATCACCACTTTATTTTAAGAATGTGAAATGTCAGAATAATAGTAGAGAGAATGATTTATTTCAGCTTTTATTTCTTTCATCACATTCCCAGTGGGTCATACACTCAATTAGTATTTGGTAGCATTGCCTTTAAATTGTTGAGTCAAATGTTTCGGGTAGCCTTCCACAAGCTTCCCACAATAAGTTGGGTGAATTTTGGCCTGTTTCTCCTGACAGAGCTGGTGTAACTGAGTCAGGTTTGTAGGCCTCCTTGCTCGCACACGCTTTTTCAGTTCAGCCCACACATTTTCTATAGGATTGAGGTCAGGGCTTTGTGATGGCCACTCCAATACCTTGACTTTGTTGTCCTTAAGCCATTTTGCCACAACTTTGGAAGTATGCTTGGGGTCATTGTCCATTTGGAAGACCCATTTGCGACCAAGCTTTAACTTCCTGACTGATGTCTTGAGATGTTGCTTCAATATATCCACATAATTTTCCTTCTTCATGATGATCTATTTTGTGAAGTGCACCAGTCCCTCCTGCAGCAAAGCACCCCCACAGCATGATGCTGCCACCTCCGTGCTTCACGGTTGGGATGGTGTTCTTCTGCTTGCAAGTACCCCCTTTTTCCTCCAAACATAACGATGGTCATTATAGCCAAACAGTTCTATTTTTGTTTCATCAGACCAGAGGACATTTCTCCAAAATGTACGATCTTTGTCCCCATGTGCAGTTGCAAACAGTAGTCTGGCTTTTTTATGGCAGTTTTGGAGCAGTTGCTTCTTCCTTGCTGAGCGGCCTTTCAGGTTATGTCGATATAGGGTTCGTTTTACTGTGGATATAGATACTTTTGTACCTGTTTCCTCCACCATCTTCACAAGGTCCTTTGCTGTTGTTCTGGGATTGATTTGCACTTTTCGCACCAAAGTACGTTCATCTCTAGGAGACAGAACGGGTCTCCTTCCTGAGCGGTATGACGGCTGCGTGGTCCCATGGTGTTTATACTTGTGTACTATTGTTTGTACAGATGAACGTGGTACCTTCAAGCGTTTGGAAATTGCTCCCAAGGATGAACCAGACTTGTGGAGGTCTACAATTTGTTTTCTGAGGTCTTGGCTGATTTCTTTTGATTTTCCCATGATGTCAAGCAAAGAGGCACTGAGTTTGAAGGTAGGCCGAAGCTTCTAAAGCCATGACATAATTTCTGGAATTTTCCAAGCTATTTAAAGGCACAGTCAAGTGTATGTAAACTTAGTGTATGTAAACTTCTGACCCACTGGAATTGTGATACAGTGAATTATAAGTGAAATAATCTGTCTGTAAACAATTGTTGGAAAAATTACTTGTGTCATGCACAAAGTAGATGTCCTAACCGACTTGCTAAAACTATAGTTTGTTAACAAGACATTTGTGAAGTGGTTGAAAAACGAGTTTTAATGACTCCAACCTTAGTGTATGTAAACTTCCGACTTCAACTGTATGTAGCGGTGTAATAATGTTATATGATGTACTGTTTTATCTTTCGTTTTATATGTAATGTAAGTGCTTTAATATATTTGGACCCCAGGAAGAGTAGCTGCTGCCTTGGCTAATGGGGATCCCTAATAAATACAAGGTTTCTTGTGGACAGATGCGCTGATTCCCGAGATTACATTACCTACCTGTGAATGCAGACTTCAAAATTTATATTCAATGTCAGTAATACCCACATACAGTGCCTTCAGAAAGTATTCATACCCCTTGACTTACGCGACATTTTGTCAGCCTGAATTCAAAATGGATTAAATCGTTTTTTTTTCTTCTTACCCATCTACACACAATACCCCATAATGACAAAGTGAAAACATGTTTTTTGACATTTTTGCATATTGATTGAAAATTGAAATGCATAAATATCTATTTACATAAGTATTCACACTCTTGGAGTCAATACAATGTAGAAGCACATTTGGCAGTGATTACAGCTGTGAGTCTTTCTGGGTAAGTCTCTAAGAGCTTTGCACACCTGGATTGTACAATATTTCAAGCTCTGTCAAATTGGTTGTTGATCAGTGCTAGATAACCATTTTCAGGTCTTGCCAAGTAGATTTAAGTCAAAACTGTAACTCGGCCACTCAGGAACATTCACTGTCTTCTTGGTAACAACTCCAGTGTAGATTTGGCCTTAGATTTGGTGTTTTTAGGTTGTTGTCCTGTTGAAAGGTGAATTGATCTCAGTGTCTGGTGGAAAGCAGTCTGAACCATGTTTCCCTCAAGGATTTTGCCTGTGCTTAGCTCCATTCAGTTTATTTTAGGTCGTTGTCACAAAGGTTGCGTGTTCGAATCTCATCATGGAAAACATTTTAGCTAATTAGCAACTTTTCAACTACTTACTACTTTTTAGCTACTTTGCAACTACCTAGCATATTAGCTAACCCACCCCTAACCCTAACCCTTTTAGATAACCTTTCCGCTAACCCTATTCCTAACCTTAACCCTTTAACCTAACTCCTAAACTTAACCCTAAACTTAAGCCTAGCTAACATTAGTGTTAGCCACCTAGCTAACATTAGCCACAAATTGGAATTCGTAACATATCATACATTTCGCAAATATTTAACATATTGTAAGTTTGCAAATTCGTAACATATAATACAAAATATAAAGCCAACATGGAAATTTTTTTTACGATTTTACTGAGTTACAGTTCATATAAGGAAATCAGTTGATTGAAATAAATTCATTAGGCCCTAATCTATGTATTTCACATGACTGGGCAGGGGCACAGGCATGGGTGGGCCTGGGAGGGCATAGGCTCACCCACTGGGGCACCAGCCCAGCCCAGCCAATCAGAATTCGTTTTTCCCCACAAAAGGGCTTTATTACAGACAGAAATACTCCTGTTTCGTCAGCTGTCCGGTTGGCTGGTCTCAGATGATCCCGCGGGTGAAAAAGCCGGATGTAGAGGTCCTGGGCTGGCGTGGTTACACGTGGTCTGCGGTTGTGAGGCCGGTTGGACGTACTGCAAAATTCTCTAAAACGACATGGTAGAAAAATTAACATTAAATTCTCTGGCAAACGTTTCTGCAGTCAGAATGCCAATTGGATGCTCCCTCAAAACTTGACACATCTGTGGCATTGTGTTGTTTGACAAAACTGCACATTTTAGAGTGGCCTTTTATTGTCCCCAGGACAAGGTGCACCTGTGTAATGATCATGCTGATTAATCAGCTTCTTGATATTCCACACCCGTCAGGTGGATGGATTCACTTGGTAAGGGATAAATGATCACTAACAGGGATGTAAACAACTTTGTGCACAAATCTTTAGAGCAATAAGATTTTTGTGCGTAAGGAACATTTCCTGGGATGTTTTATTTCAGCTCATGAAACATGGGACTTTACATGTTGCGTTTATATTTTTTGTTCAGTTTTGGTGCGCATAGAATGTAATCATGAGTGCATTCAGATGCGTGGTCCGTGCAAACTTTCTTCACAATACAACAGTCATTCTGTTTGGACAATCCAGGGTATAATGTGATCTAGTATGTCTAAACTGTAGTCAAACAGTGACCAGAAATATTGACACTATATTACTTACGTTTTATATGGAAATGTGAAGTTCAAATTTGGACTCCCAGGTGTTTGGCTTGCTTGTATGACAAAGCGATATTTATAATCCTCTACGTCTCACCTTTCAAAATAAGAGTCCTCTTAATTTACATTCCCCTCACTCAGACAAAACATTTGCAAAAGTTGCCCAATTAGCAGGAGGGATGGGGGCATCTTAGTCACGTGAAGCGCAGAGCCTGAGATCTGACGTCATGTATAGCATGTTATGGTAGAGCCACTGAGCTCCGACGTCATGTATAGCATGTTATGGTAGAGCCACAGATCTGACGTCATGTATAGCATGTTATGTTAGAGCCACTGACCTCCGACGGCATGTATAGCATGTTATGGTAGAGCCACTGACCTCCGACGGCATGTATAGCATGTTATGGTAGAGCCACTGACCTCCGACGGCATGTATAGCATGTTATGGTAGAGCCACTGACCTCCGACGGCATGTTATAGCATGTTATGGTAGAGCCACTGACCTCCGACGGCATGTATAGCATGTTATGGTAGAGCCACTGACCTCCGACGTCATGTATAGCATGTTATGGTAGAGCCACTGACCTCCGACGGCATGTTATGGTAGAGCCACTGACCTCCAGTTTAGGCACCTACTGTCCAAATGTGCCATTTTCAACCTGTATAGGGGTATGAGCGTAAAAGGGTTAAAGGCTCAAAAACTCGATTTTCCTGTTTATATATAATTTCCAGACCGAGGTCGGAAGAACTCTGAAAATGCCCGTTTAGTCTAAGAGCTGTTTGAAAAGATGGCCTGAAATTCCAGCCTGTTTTGGTGGGATGGCGTTTTGGCCTGCCTGGTGATCTCATTGGTCTATTAACTAAATTAGTTAATGAACCAATAAAGAACATTCCAAACCTCTGCCAATAAGAGCTCGTTTCCCCATTTCCCCCCGCCCACTCAGACCACTGACAGTCCTAGCAAAAAAAATTGCTTGAGAAATTACATTTAGCTAAGAAGCAGGTGTTTTCCCCCCCACACACAGTAAAGTACTTAGTTGTTACCCAGAAAATATTTGTTAGAAAATATTTGATATTAGGATAACAGCTGCTTTGGAACTATAAATGATTATAAATAAATAAATAATACAATAAATCAGGAAATGAAGTGCCTTTTATTTGGGAGGAGAACATAAAAAGCAATACAGTGCCATCACCAATCCATTCACGGTACAGCAACAATGCAAGATGGTGGCGCCTACACAATACCAATACTCCAACGTTTTGGGCTTTAAATAAACAGAAAAAAAAAACCAGGGTGGAGGGGGGGGGGGGGTCATAGGGGTGATGGGGGCGGGGGGGTTAGGTGGTCAAAAGGTCAAAGGTTATAGAGGTCATGTTCAGTCCTCTTCGTCCCAGTCCTTCTTGCCTGTTGGGGCTTTGGGTCCCCCTGCCGGTTTGGCCATGATGATCTGAGGAACACACAGTCAGTCAGTCAGTCCACTAGCAACCATTCTGAACATTGTTGTTGACCTGGCTTCCTGTGAGCAAGCAGCATGCATCCACACACTGTGCCAGCACACACACACACACACACACACACACAACTATTATTAGTTAAATCTGGATGTTTCACTCCCGGGATACCAGTGGTTAGCTTCAGTCAAAAACACGAGGAGTAAAAACAACCACATCCATACCACTGTTCTAAAACACACAACTACATCCATAGCATGTCAAAAAACGCAGGCAGTGAATCCAGCGGGGACTGTGAAGACACACACCGGTACACACACACCACACACACACACACACACACACACCGGTACACACACACACACACACAAGCAAGCACACCCACTCTACATTACAATATTGTTGTATGGTGGTATTTTATACATTTTGTATTGTAAATATGTGGTGTAATAATGTTATGATGTACTGTTTTATATGTAATGTAAGTGCTATGGGGATCCATAATAAACCCCAGGAAGAGTAGCCGCTGCCTTGGCAGGAACTAAATGGGGATCCATAATAAACCCCAGGAAGAGTAGCCGCTGCCTTGGCAGGAACTAAATGGGGATCCATAATAAACCCCAGGAAGAGTAGCCGCTGCCTTGGCAGGAACTAATGGGGATCCGTAATAAACCCCCAGGAAGAGTAGCTGCTGCCTGGCAGGAACTAATGGGGATCCGTAATAAACCCCAGGAAGAGTAGCTGCTGCCTTGGCAGGAAACTAATTGGGGATCCCTAATAAACCCCAGGAAGAGTAGCTGCTGCCTTGGCAGGAACTAATGGGGATCCATAATAAACCCCAGGAAGAGTAGCTGCTGCCTTGGCAGGAACTAATGGGGATCCATAATAAACCCCAGGAAGAGTAGCTGCTGCCTTGGCAGGAACTAATGGGGATCCATAATAAACCCCAGGAAGAGTAGCTGCTGCCTTGGCAGGAACTAAATGGGGATCCATAATAAACCCAGGAAGAGTAGCTGCTGCCTTGGCAGGAACTAATGGGGATCCATAATAAACCCCAGGACAGGTAGCTGCTGCCTTGGCAGGAACTAATGGGGATCCATAATAAACCCCAGGAAGAGTAGCCGCTGCCTTGGCAGGAACTAATGGGGATCCATAATAAACCCCAGGAAGAGTAGCCTGCTGCCTTGGCAGGAAACTAATGGGGATCCATAATAAACCCCAGGAAGAGTAGCCTGCTGCCTTGGCAGGAACTAATGGGGATCCATAATAACCCCAGGAAGGTAGCCTGCTGCCTTGGCAGGAACTAATGGGGATCCATAATAAACCCCAGGAAGAGTAGCTGCTGCCTTGGCAGGAACTAATGGGATCCATAATAAACCCCAGGAAGAGTAGCTGCTGCCTTGGCAGGAACTAATGGGATCCATAATAAACCCCAGGAAGAGTAGCTGCTGCCTTGGCAGGAACTAATGGGGGATCCATAATAAACCCCAGGAAGAGTAGCTGCTGCCTTGGCAGGAACTAATGGGGATCCATAATAAACCCCAGGAAGAGTAGCTGCTGCCTTGGCAGGAAACTAATGGGGATCCATAATAAACCCCAGGAAGAGTAGCTGCTGCCTTGGCAGGAACTAATGGGGATCCATAATAAACCCCAGGAAGAGTAGCTGCTGCCTTGGCAGGAACTAATGGGGATCCATAATAAACCCCAGGAAGAGTAGCTGCTGCCTTGGCAGGAACTAATGGGGATCCATAATAAACCCCAGGAAGAGTAGCTGCTGCCTTGGCAGGAACTAAATGGGGGATCTATAATAAACCCCCAGGAAGAGTAGCTGCTGCCTTGGCAGGAACTAATGGGGATCCATAATAAACCCCAGGAAGAGTAGCTGCTGCCTTGGCAGGAACTAAATGGGGATCTATAATAAACCCCAGGAGTAGGGCGCGAACAAAAGTTCACACACCCAGCTGCTCTCCTGGAGGTATTATGTTTATCAGAACATGTGGTCGGATGGCTCTCCAACATGTGGTCGGACGGCTCTCCAACATGTGGTCGGACGGCTCTCCAACATGTGGTCGGACGGGCTCTCCAACATGTGGTCGGACGGCTCTCCAACATGTATGTGGTCGGACGGCTCTCCAACATGTGGTCGGACGGCTCTCCAACAGTATGTGCGTCGGACGGCTCTCCACATGTGGTCGGACGGCTCTCCAACATGTGGTCTGGAGGCTCTCCAACATGTGGTCGGACGGCTCTCCAACATGTGGTCGGACGGCTCTCCAACATGTGGTCGGACGGCTCTCCAACATGTGGTCGGACGGCTCTCCAACATGTGGTCGGATAGCTCTCCAACATGTGGTCGGACGGCTCTCCAACATGTGGTCGGATGGCTCTCCAACATGTGGTCGGATGGCTCTCCAACATCTTGAAAGTGGCCTCCAGTATTATTTGATGTGACATTGTTTTGCTGCGTGGCAACAGTTAACCAGCGACTCAAACCACAGGAAACACTGTAGTCATCTCCGTCACCTCCGACCTTTAAAAACCGAATTTAAGACATTAAGACGTGACCTTTAAAATCAGATACATGTCTTTAAGACTAAGGAACCGCAGACACCCTGTGAGTGAGTGTTTCCTTGCCATTTTCCCATCACACACACACACACAGTGAGTGTTTCCTTGCCATTTTCCCATCACACACACACAGTGAGTGTTTGCGTGCCGTGCAGTTTCCCCCCCATCACACACAGTGAGTGTTTGCGTGCCGTGCAGTTTCCCCCATCACACACAGACCGGTCCGTTCCCAGCTCCAGCAGCACCTGTCAGTGTAGTGTGTATTCTGTCCTGTCCAGGAAGGACAGGTTAGTGGTGTGTATCAAAGTGTTCAGGCTCTTCTCCCTCATCCTTGTCCCAGTGGCCTTGCTGTTTAGGAGCCCGGGGCCCCCCCGCTGGCTTAGCCATGATAATCTACCCACACACACACAGACCCCCCCAAAACGCACAAACAAATGATGAACAAACATTTTAGCATCCATCTTTGCTGATGAGAATTAAGTGAATATAGCAATTAAAAATCAAAAACTGAAGAAAAAAATGTGTTTACTCCGGCTGACCTGCAACGAGAAGATTATTGCGTGTGTACCTGGTCCACTCGGAGCACGGTGATAGCAGTAGGGACGTGCACGTTTCCCTTTCAAGAGACACTTGAAAACCCCACCTCTTTAAAGGAATACCTGGGATAGGATAAAGTAATCCTTTTACCCCCCCCTTACCCCACCCCCAAAAAAATAATATAAAAATATATATATATATTGTAAAGTGGTTATCCCACTGGCTATAAGGTGAATGCACCAATCTGTAAGTCGCTCTGGATAAGAGCGTCTGCTAAATGACGAAAATGTAAAACGTAAAGAAATGTTGATACAGTATCTAGATACATGGGCTCTGATACAATACCGGAACTACACGTTTAGTTTGAAAAGACAGTTTGGTTAGAGGAACGAGTCGATGGGATTCGGTTCAATGTGATCCGATGCACTAACATTTGTCGCATAAACACATTCATTTTCCATTCTAAATGTCCTGCTAATGGAGCCCAGGAACCGACACATGTAAATGATGTCTATGGCGTAAGTAGACACCAGAGCTGCATCATGCAAGGGAGAATCAACCACCCCACTACCAGACTGTATTTATGTATACTTTGATCCCCCCCCCAATCTGAAATTACCCACTAAATTTTGCAGATTAAACACGTTTGAGCAAGTAATGTATCAATATTTTAATTTTAAAATATTTGCTATGACATAGCCAATGAATATAGCGCAACTTTGGATTTCACCCCCCCCCCCCCCCCCCCCCCCCGTCTCAAAATCTAATTGTTTGGACCTTCTCTGCTTGGAACATGCAGTGGGGCTCAAAAAAGTGATTTCCATCCTCGTTATGAAATTATCAACTTTACCCTGAATATCTAAGAATTACCACATATACACGACACATTTTATGTGTCACATGCGCCGAATACAACAGGTTTAGACCTTAACGTGAAATTCTTACTTACAAGCAGTTAAGAAAATAGAGTTAAGAAAAATATTTACGAAATAAACTAAAGTAAAAGCTAAAATAACAGTACCGAGGCTATATACAGGGGATACTGGTACCGAGTCAATGTGCGGGGTACAGGTTAGTCCAGGTAATAATGAGGCTATATACAGGGGGTACTGGTACCGAGTCAATGTGGGGGGGGGTACAGGTTAGTCCAGGTAATAACGAGGCTATATACAGGGGGTACCGGTACCAAGTCAATGGGCTGGGGTACAGGTTAGTCCAGGTAATAATGAGGCTATATACAGGGGGTACTGGTACCGAGTCAATGGGCTGGGGTACAGGTTAGTCCAGGTAATAATGAGGCTATATACAGGGGATACCGGTACCGAGTCAATGTGGGGGGGGGTACAGGTTAGTCGAGGTAATTTGTACATGTAGGTAGGGGTAAAGTGACTATGCATAGATAATAAACAGCGAGTAGCAGCAGTGTAAATAGTCCGGGTAGCCATTTGATTAATTGTTCAGCAGTCTTATGGCTTGGGGGTAGAAGCTGTTGAGAAGTCTTTTGGACCTAGACTTGGTGCTCCGGTACCGCTTGCCGTGCGGTAGCAGAGAGAACAGCTTATGACTAGGGTGGCTGGAGTCTGACAATTTTTGGGGGCCTTCCTCTGACACCGCCTAGTATATAGGTCCTGGATGGCAAAACTATTGCAGATGGTGAACCTGAACAATCAAAATAACATTATTATAAGCCCCGATCACCAGGTAAGGCTACAGCCAGGTGAGTCGTCTCCGTTGGCGTACTTTTATCCCAGTGAAAACACTTTCAACAGCGCAATAGATAACAATAACCTAGCAAATTACATTGGGTTGTCACTTAACTAAAGCCGAATATTGCACAAGCCATTTTACTAATTCGACTAATAAAGGCGCAATTTGACTACGCCGATATTTCGAGGTTGTTCTGCAGGCAAAGAAAAAAAACAGGACGCGTCAGTATTTTGAAAGCTACAAAGTAATATGCAAAAAAAAAAAAAACGGCGATTCGTAGCTTTTGAAATCGATTTTTCTACCGATGCATGCTATATTTGGGTCGTTGTGAGTCCCGCGGACCGACGCACCCAATTAAAGTATCTGAAACATTTGAACCGGCGACCGACGCGCATCGGTGAATCGTTACATCCCTAGATAGCAGCGTTGGTAGCTAGTTTGATGCCCCAGTGTGTGTGTGTGTGTGTGTGTGTGTGTACCTGGTCCACTCGGAGCACGGTGATAGCAGCGTTGGTAGCTAGTTTGATGCCCCAGTGTGTGTGTGTGTGTGTGTGTGTGTGTGTACCTGGTCCACTCGGAGCACGGTGATAGCAGCGTTGGTAGCTAGTTTGATGCCCCAGTGTGTGTGTGTGTGTGTGTGTGTGTGTGTACCTGGTCCACTCGGAGCACGGTGATGGCAGCGTTGGTGGCTAGTTTGATACCCCAGTGTGTGTGTGTGTGTGTGTGTGTGTGTGTGTGTGTGTACCTGGTCCACTCGGAGCACGGTGATAGCAGCGTTGGTAGCTAGTTTGATGCCCCAGTGTTTGACCAGGAAAGGCTCCAGGATCCCAGCCTCAAGCATGTCCTTCAGAGCAGCACCCTCTCCCTGTGAACACACACACATTACCCACAACCCTTCAGCTTTGTACGTAACAATAAAATAAAAAAACACACATTGAAATCAACAGAAACTCATTGTGTTCAGGTGCACTGGGTTTAAAATTTGCCCGAGTTGCCGGTAGAGCTTCTTTGGAAAAACCTCTGCTAACCTGGCACACTGGGCAAACTAAACCAAGCGCACCTTCTCGTGTAAAAAGGAAGACAACATTGAAATCCAATAGGATCACTCTCTCACTCTCCCTCCCTCCCTCACTCACTCTCCCTCTCCCTCCCTCCCTCCCTCTCCCTCTCCCTCCCTCCCTCCCTCCCTCCCTCTCTCTCTCTCTCTCTCACCTCGATGTCGAAGCCCATGTTCTTGTTGCCCTCATGGTGTACGGCGTACAGTTTGGAGATGAGCTCGTTTCCCTTGATGCCAGAGTTCTCTGCCAACGCTCTGGGCACCGCCTCGAACGCCTCCGCAAACTTCTTAATGGCGTACTGCTCCAGACCCGGACATGTCTAAGGGGGGGGGCAGGCGAACTTGTTAATGGCATACTGCTCCAGAACTGGACACAGTCGTACTAGTTGGTGTGTTTTTAAAAAAAACGACTAAAATGTGCACATTCGTTTTACGTACCTCTCCGTATGAAGTGATCTGTCTAGCCAATTCTATTTCTGTAGCGCCGGCCCCTGGCACCAGTCTCTTGTCTCTGACCAGAACCTTGAAGGTGTTGACCCCGTCGTCGATGGCCCTCTCTATGTCATCCATCCGGTTGTCGGTGGATCCTCTGATCACCAGGGTGGAGATGGCACCGTCTTCTTTCTCTGGGACGACGAGGAGAGAATGGAAAGAGAATGATTATGGAGATGGCGCCATTTGCAGACCGTGTGTCCATGGTTCCCGAATCTCACAGAAAATAAAAGCTTTTTTAAAAAAATGAGTGTTTAGTTGGGAATGTTTAGTGTTCTCACCGTGTTTGAAGACCACCACCTGAGTGTCTCCCACCTCGTCCAGGTAGACACTGTCACAATGGCCCATCTCCTCTGGAGTGGGAGGGGTCTGGGGAAGGAGGAAAAGGAAAAGGTCCGTTTCAGTTTGACTTGAAGAAGCACAACTTACATGAATTTATTTTTACACGTACAGGGTTTACTGAAACTCAGATGGATCGTCTGTGGCCAAGTTAACCTCCGCTTTCATGTAAGAAAGTCATGACCGCCGTGCTTTTAGGGAAAGAGGATCATTTGGTACATCTATTAAACTGCGTTTTGACCAAATCCTGGGTCCTCCCCAGGATAAAAAAAATTAATAAAAAGTAAACTGAAAAGCTCAGTTCTGGTGATTTTTTTTTACACACTGCTGCTACTCGCTGTTTATTATCTATGCATAGTCACTTTACCCATACCTACATGTCCATATTATCATTACATTTATATTTACATTTTAGTCATTTAGCAGACGCTCTTATCCAGAGCGACTTACAGTTAGTGAATACATTTATTTCTTTATTTTTTATACTGGCCCCCCGTGGGAATCGAACCCACAACCCTGGCGTTGCAAACGCCATGCTCTATCAACTGAGCTACATCCCTGCCGGCCATTCCCTCCCCTACCCTGGACGACGCTGGGCCAATTGTGCGCCGCCCATGAGTCTCCCGGTCGCGGCCGGCTGCGACAGAGCCTGGATTCGAACCAGGATCTCTAGTGGCACAGTTAGCACTGCGATGCAGTTCCTTAGACCACTGCGCCACTCAGGGGACTTAACCATAACCTAATTAACTCTGTGTGAAGGAGCTATGTCACGCTGCATAAATACAGATGCATATTTGTATTCCCAGTCACGTGAAATCCATAGAGTCGGGCCTCGTGAATATATTTCAATTGACTGATTTCCTTATATGAACTTTAACTCAGTAAAATCTTTTTAAAATTGTTGCACGTTTATATATTTTTGTTCAGTGTAGTTTCTGGCTGCACCTCACAAAAAAATGATTGTTTAAAAATGTGCCAGTTAAATAAAAAAATGTGCCAGTTAAGTTAAAAAATGTGCCAGTTAAGTTTAAAAATGTGCCAGTTAAGTTTAAAAATGTGCCAGTTAAGTTTAAAAATGTGCCAGTTAAGTTTAAAAATGTGCCAGTTAAGTTTAAAAATGTGCCAGTTAAGATTAGAATTTTGATTACAACGGGCTCTAGTTGTTTTAACAGTATAGCCCAAAATGATGTTTTTTTTTAGGTGAGATTTACTCAGGAAGCAATGCGTTAATGCAGCACATGCATAACCTATAGACATAATGGTTTTAGTTTGTAAAAATGTTTTAATATTGATGTACTCATTCAGGTTCACAGTGAGGACCGAACCGAGGTCCCCATACCAAACGCGATTGGGTACGAGAATACCGGTAGACACGTACCGCCACCCTGTCCGTCAGGGGGAACTCACCAGTCTAGGCAGGGCCACAGCTCCCACAGTCTTACACAGCCTCCTCAGGTCCCATTTAGAGTTCAGCCTGCGGGAGACAGCGTTAGTAACAACACAGAGACTGGGTTCTAAAAAAGGACCAACAGCTTCTGCTTTCAGTATATTTAGATCAGTGGTTCCCGAACACCCCCCGATAAGACCTACCAGCTACCCCATGTAACCGCTCGTCTAAAATCCTCACGATCGAGTTAATCTCAACTGACAAAGGAACTATAGCAGATGGTCTTGGAATGTTGATTATTTTTGTTTATTTTTAGGAATGAAGTGGTCTGAAATTTAAAAAAACGGGTACGAGTGAGTAAGTGCATGCATGTCCGTCGGTCTGCGTCCATTGCTCCCCTACCTGACGACCATGAGCTGGTACTTGTTGGCGTAGTGCAGTGCCATGTCTGCCACTTTGCCACCGGTCACCACCACGTTGGCGCCAGCCTCAGCGATGGCTTTCACCTGCGCTTCCATCATATCCTCCTCCCCCTTACTGAAGTTAAGGAGCTCCTCCGCATTATTTATCAACACTGTACCCTACGGAGGAGGGAGGGGAGAGCAGGTCAACATCATATCCTCCTCTCCCTTACTGAAGTTAAGGAGCTCCTCCCCATTATTTATCAACAATGTACCCTACGGAGGGAGAGCGCGCGCTCGAGGGGGAGGGAGAGCGATCGCTAGAGAGAGAGAGAGGGGTAACATTTATTTCCGTCCCACCTTGGTTTCTGTGACCATGCAGTCGAAGGGGCAGGAGAAGACTGCGATCTTGGCGTCTTTGATTGACGTGACATCTCCCTCAGTCTCCTTCTTGAACACCATCCCATGGAGCACTGAGGACGAAGTCAGCCCACAGCCCTGCACACACACACACACACATATCAGAGAGCAGATTAACACACCAGTGGTCGCATTAACGCAGATAAAACGCATAAAGAAATATCTTGCTGTGTTTTGTAAACGCACATCTAAAAATGCCATTGTAATTTCCGTTCAGCATCAGACTAAAATGGTGTGCTTCAGTTGCACTTCTAAACTCCAATGAGAATTCACCAACGGTCATTCTGTCAGCAGACAGCTCTACGACTGACGTCTAGCTACTTTTCTCAGTGTGGCCTACTTTTCTCCGGTAAAATGCGCGATTAACTTCAAGCAAAACACGATGGCCATTCATCTTTTTCGCAAAAAAAAAAAAAAAAACATTTACTTGTGGCTGCTAGCCAAATGTTCTGCTGAATGTGTTGCACTAATGTATTTTCTAAAGAAAAGAAAAAAACTAGCACGTCCCTGGCACGTCCCTGATCATTCTACCGAAGCAAAAAGAAAAGGCTTGCTTTTCTAAATAAAACACTGCTGATGTGATATACACACAGATTGACAAAAGCAACACACGGGCAGACAGGTTTGGCTAGCAGCCCACGTAGAGAAGAGTGCTGCAGCAGTAGAGGACACTCACCAGGATCTTGCAGACTCTGACGTTGTCCACACTGAAGTTACCAGACTCTGGGAAGATGGACACTAGAACAACACATCACCATTACAAATCAATTACCTTAAAATGATAAAAATCATCATCAATATATTTATTTGATACATTGGTTTGTGCTTAGAAACGTTAATAGCCATCAAAATCCTTGTTGTTGTTTTCTTAATTCCTATCAAAGCCAAAATTGCAGTGACAGAAACATGATAAATGTGGGTAAAGTGCAAGAAAATGCTCTGCACAGAAACCTGTGCCTGATATTCGCACCTCTACAAACACACGTCCACGGCAAGTCAAATTCAAGGACTTAACTACTTTTTCAAGCACTAATTTACTTAAGGACCATACATTTGTAATAGTTCAGATTATGCAATTGTTTCTAGTCGCCACCAGATGGCAGTATATCAACACAACCTCATGAAGAATAATACGTTGGTTTTTAAATCAACCTTACAAGTTATACTCAATAATACGCGTTTTAATACGTGTACTGATTATGTAGTATTTTTTTCTTCCCGAAAACATTTTTTAGTCATTTAGCAGACGCTCTTATCCAGAGCGACTTACAGGAGCAATTAGGGTTAAGTGCCTTGCTTAAGGGCACGGCGACAGATTTTTCACCTAGTCGGCTCGGGGATTAGAACCAGCGACCTTTCGGTTACTGGCACAACGCTCTTAACCACTAAGCTACCTGCCGCCCCAGTAGTGATGAGCAGAGTTTTGGGACACGCCTACTGGTGAACACACATTTCCTATTCACGTTACTACACAATTCCAGCTTAATGGCTGTTTTTTGGGCATTAGGGAAACTACTTAATAGCTACGAAAAAGCGTCTTGTTTTCCAACTGGCAGCTTTAGTGTCGCCGGTCGGGAGAAGGGCTGTGTGAGGAAAACGGCACGTGAACGGCAGGAGCACGGCTGCCCGCTTGATAAAGCGGAATATCGCGGGCGCCCCGTGAATGAAGCGATTGGCAAAACATCTCTGGAGGTAGTTAAGAGAAAAAGAGTAAAATGTAGAACTGGCGTCAGCGCAGTGATGCTGCATTGCCTTTCCCCCCCTTCATGTGGCTCTTCGGGACAGATTCCCCCCCCCCCATGCTCACAATGTCAATCGGACGAATTTTTTTGCACCTTACACAGTGACGCAGTGGTAAAAAAAAAAAGAAGGTTAAACTACACTGAACAAAACTATAGCGTTGGTCCCATGTTTCATGAGCTGAAATAAAAAGATGCCAGAAATTATCCATACGCACAAAAGACAGGATTTAATCTACAGTTGTCCGACATTTTAGCCATCGATGCGACGTTTAGCCTAATCAGTTGCCTGGCAACCACAGAGCGACACACGTGAAAAAATGCAGTTTATCGTATTTATCAAAAACGTTTATCATATTATATCATTTTCTGTCCTCTCATTTTAATTCAAGTACTTTTCAAGTACCAACTTGAAAAAAAAATCTGATTTTCAAAAGTATTACAGTACTTGAATTTCAGAGTGCCAAATTCAAGTACTTTAAGTACCCCGTGAATCATGAACACACTGAATTTAACTTGACACGTTTCACTGTATAATAAGGAAAGGGCAGGATGACTGCAATAAGGAATATAAACATAATGATCTGTATTTTCACTGTGGCAGTAAGGAGAAACACACTAGATCTATAACATCACAGATTGTGGTCACATACACATATTTAGCAGAGGTTATTGTGAGTGTAGCGAAATGCTTGTGTTCCTAGCTCCAAACAGCGCAGTAGTATCTAACAATTAACACAAATCTAAAAGTAAAAGAATGGAATTAAGAAATATATAAATATTAGGACGAGCAATGTCGGAGGCCACGCTGGTGGGAATTTAAGATCCCATCTCCTTGGAAACGCAGAACACCGATCGAGGAAGCCTTATACAACTCAGAAGAATCACCTGAGAGGAACTTACAGTCATGCGTGCATACATTTTGTTGTGTATGGGTGGTCCCGGGGATCGAACCCACTACCCTTGGCGTTACAAGCGCCGTGCTCTACCAGCTGAGCTAAAGAGCTATAAAATCGACCACACCGCCTTGCAAATCTCCACAGACAAACATTGGCAGTAGAACGGCCCGTACTGACTAGCAACGTGGCACCTTCATAGGATGCCATCTTTCCAACAAGTCAGTTTGTCACATTTCTGCCCTGCTAGAGCTGCCCCGGTCAACTGTAAGTGCTGTTATTGTGAAGTGGAAACGTCCAGGAGCAACAACCACTCCGCCAGCAAAAAAAGCTCACAGAACTGGACCGCCAAGTGCTGAAGCGTGTAAAAATCGTCTGTCCTCGGTTGCAACATTCACTACCTTGTTCCAAACTGCCTCTGGAAGCAACATCAGCACAATAAATGTTTGTAGGGAGCTTCATGAAATGGGTTTCCAAGGCCGAGCAGCCGCACACAAGCCTAACATTACCATGCACAATGCCAAGCATTGACTGGAGTGGTGTAAAGCTCTCTGCCATTGGACTCTGGAGCAGTGGAAACGTGTTCTCTGGAGTGATGAATCACACTTCACCATCTGGCAGTCCAACGGACAAATCTTGGTTTGGCGGATGCCAGGAGAACGCTACCTGTCCAAATGCATAGTGCCAACTGTAAAGTTTGGTGGAGGAGGAATAATGGTCTGGGGCTGTTTTTCATGGCCCTTTCTTGTTTCAGCATGACAATGCCCCTGTGCCAAAAGCGAGGTCCATACAGAAACGATTTGTCGAGATTGGTGTGGAAGAACTTGACTGGCCTGCACAGAGCCCTGACCTCAACCCCATTGAACACCTTTGGGATTAATTGGAATGCCGACTGCGAGGCAGACTTAAATCGCCCAACATCAGCGCCCGACCTCACTAATGTTCGTGGCTGAATGGAAGCAAGTCCCCGCAGCAATGTTCGAACATCTAGTGGAAAGCCTTCCCAGAAGAGCGGAGGCCCATGATTTCGGCGAACAGGTGTCCACATACTTATCTTTGGCTACAGCAAAGAAAGTGGATAAATGAAGATGTTCACTGAAGCCCTTTATCTACTTCCCCCAGAGTCCGATGGATTTTTATTCATTTCATTTTTTTCCTCCCCAATTTTCGTGATATCCAATTGTCTCATTGCTGCAACTCCCTAACGAACCCGGGGAGAGGCCAAGGGCGAGAAACGCGTCCCTTTAACGGGGTGCTGGGTCTGGTCTACTAGGTTTATTAACTTCAATTGAACCCCAAAAAATAAACAGCGAGTGGCTCACTTCCTCTTCCGTCTCTGACTGCAGCTTTTTGCCAGAGCCTTCACCTGGCGGACTGAGCCATGAAGCACATTAAAATAACAAACTAATGTTTTAGCACCCCCCCCCCCCCCTTTTTTTTTTTACCAGCAAATGATCACCATAATCCACTGGAAAATGTGTTGAATGTCACCCTTTTAAGCGAGTGCAAAAAAAAAAAAAAGACTATAATATAAATAAAAGTGATATGGATTGCATTATAGAACACCCGCTCCCCAAAGATGAATGGTTTTGACCACTGGAAATATCAAAACGGTAAGAGTCAGACAAACTTCAACATGTCGTATAGGGACAGTTTAGCTGAGACTCATCTCTCGACAGGTAGGCTGGTAGTCTTTCTGAAATAACTACAGTATGCCTGCTTGACTCTCGAGTGGCGCAGTGGTCTAAGGCACTGCATCGCAGTGCTAGCTGTGCCACTAGAGATCCTGGTTCGAATCCAGGCTCTGTCGTAGCCGGCCGCGACCGGGAGACCCATGGGGCGGCGCACAATTTGGCCCAGCATCGTCCAGGGTAGGGGAGGGAATGGCCGGCAGGGATGTAGCTCAGTTGGTAGAGCATGGCGTTTGCAACGCCAGGGTTGTGGGTTCGATTCCCACGGTGGGCCAGTATGAAAAATAAAAAGATAATGTAAGTCGCTCTGGATAAGAGCGTCTGCTAAATGACTAAAAAATGTAACTGAAATGGTGCTCACACATAACTTTCATTAGCTAGCTATGGTTAGCACACTAGCTAGCGACACTGACGGCTGTAGTTCAATCCCGGTTCTGGAGGGCAGAAACACTTCTGGGTTTTGTTTACATTTACATTTTAGTCATTTAGCAGACGCACTTATCCAGAGCGACTTACAGGAGCAATTAGGGTTAAGTGCCTTGCTCAAGGGCACATCGACAGTTAACGGCACTGACCTGGTGTCCCAGGTCTGAATTATAAAGAGGACGAAGAAACCCCAGAAGTGTTTGGGCCTAACATTGAACACCTCTGCTCTAGATTTTTATTTATTTATTCATAAATAAAAATCGTCATCGATAAATGAATTCGCTCTTAAAATCTGTCCACGTCTCTTACCGCAGGCCTGGGCGATGAGGTTGGAGAGGAAGTCTTCGTTGCCGTACTGTTTGGACATGACGGCCGGGCGGATCATAGCAGCGGCCTCCTCTACATCGTGAAGGTTCTTGGCTGACGCGCACACGCACTCCGGGAGGATCTCCAGAGCCTTCTTCATCGCCAGCTCATAGCCCTCAATCACCTAGGAGAGACAGACACACGGGGTGTGTAAGAGATCTGCATTGCCACATACAGGACAGTGTGCGTGTTCCTACAGGTTCCAGGTTTATTTGACAAAAGGTAGCGAAAAAAATTACAAATCATTGCGACATCTGTAATGGAAACGGCAGATAGGACACATGTTCAAAAAGAGAACATTCCGGGGGTGGATTTTTCTTTTGTCGAGCATTCTTTATTTGCGACAAATGACGGAAACTGTGTTTTTTTCCCGGATAAACAATGATTGCCGAATACTTTTGAAGGTATGATGGGCACGTGATGTCAACGAGTAAACTATAAGCTCCACTCCACATTTAATTCTAAAAATGTCTACTGCTTGCAAAATCTATTTTCCCCCCCCACAAAATGTTTCGTTGCAGGACAAGGATTGTCCTGACTTTGAAGAATGCCTGAATTGCTTCGCCTTGCCTTTCTGATTGGCTGGAAAGTTTGAACATCCAATTATCTCAGAGCTTCACCATGACACGGACTGTGGCGATACGTTGGCACATGAGAATTATTAGAATACGGCAAATATTACTCAATTACTGCATTCCATCCATGCTGGTTTCACAGGCTACCGGAGACATGAAACAGATAGTTGGGAGGGCATACAGGCTGTCGACAATGTATTAATGTGCAATTTGCCTAAACGGGTAATGGAAATACTTCAACCACTACATTTTTATTCGACACTGTAGGCTTTTACTAAAACATTTTATATTTTATTAGGTGTGACGTCATTACATCAAGCTGTAAAAAAAATATATATATTTAAATAGAAAGAAAAAAATAAATTTATAATTCGGCACAAGATGGTTAAATGGAGACGCAGGCAATCGTCACATCTATTTTCTATGCTAACTTTCTAAAATGTCAACAACAAAATAACTTTACATGGTAATGAAACATAGCTAGTGTGGGTACCTCGGACACAGAAAGCCCCATGCGTAGAAGCTCCTCAGCCAGCTCCAGGAGAGCGCCAGCGAACACAAGGACAAAGTTGGTCCCATCCCCCACCTCCTGCTCCTGCATGTGGGACGCCATCACGATCATCTTGGCTGCCGGGTGCTGCACCTGGAGGAAGAACAACCACACACAGGAAACGGTTACATTATGAAGCCTTATGACGGGGCGGCAGGTAGCTTAGTGGTTAAGAGCGTTGTGCCAGTAACCGAAAGGTCGCTGGTTCTAATCCCGAGCCGACTAGGTGAAAAATCTGTCGATGTGCCCTTGAGCAAGGCACTTAACCCTAATTGCTCCTGTAAGTCGCTCTGGATAAGAGCGTCTGCTAAATGACTAAAATGTAAATGTAATTATGACCATTCCAGGGGTCTTCATCAAACTCCAGTCCATTAGAACTACTGGGTGAGCAGACTTGTCTGTTTCACCACCAGTTCTCAGGATGGTAGTGTGTGTGTGTGTTCTAGAATGTGTGTGTTCTGGTATATGTGGTGTGTGTGTGTTCTAGAATGTGTGTGTTCTAGAATGTGTGTGCTCTAGAACGTGTGTGCTCTAGAACGTGTGTGCTCTAGAATGTGTGTGCTCTAGAATGTGTGTGCACGAGTGTCTCACCTCGAGCTCTCTGAGGATGGTAGCAGCATCGTTAGTCACAAACAGCTTCTCCAGGTGGTTGATCACCATCTTGTTCATGCCTGAAGAATAAAGAGACAAACAATCTCAGTTTGAGGACAACGTATACACTAACAGACAGAGTCAGACAGACAAAGAGAGAAGACAGACAGGTCATACATTGGGTCCTTACAAGGGCTTCCGAGTGGCGCAGTGGTCTAAGGCACTGCATCTTAGTGCTAGAGGAGTCACTACAGACCCTGGTTTGATCCCGGGCTGTATCACAACCAGCCGTGATCGGAAGTCCCATAGGGCGCCGCACAATTGGAACCAGCGTCGTCCGGGTGAGGGTGAGGCCAGGGCAGGCAGTCATTGTAAATAAGAATTTGTTCTTAACTGACTTGCCTAGTTAAATAAAGGTAATATAAAATAATGCACGTCCGTGCGCGCATGTTGATTTTGTCCATCCACACCAGACACGATCAGGACAAGCAGGTTGAAATATCAAAACAAACTCTGAACCAGCTATATTAATTTGGGGTCGAAACACATGAAACATTCATGGCCATTTAGCTAGCGGTTGCTAGCTAATTCGTCCTGGGATATAATTAAACATTGGGTTTTTATTTCACTACTGGACTGGAGTGTGTACCTCAGTTCATCTTTCAATCACCCACGTGGGTATATGCTCCTAAAAATCAATGAGGAGATGGGAGAGGCAGGACTTGCAGAGCGCAAAGCCTCAAAAATAGAAGCAAGTTCTATTTTAACGCCTGGCCACGCAGACGATCGTTGACGGCCGAGAGAAGTTTGGATGAAATTATTGAATGACGTGTAAATGTATTTTGCGCACGCCACGTGAGCGCTGTGGTCAGCATGTTAGGCTGTGTGTGTGGTCTAACATAACAGAGAAAGACAGACTGACAGGCAATCAGGCAGAGACAGACACACAGGGAGAGAGACAGCCGAGTCTTACCGTTGGGTCCGTAGGCCGTGCGTGTAGTCTGGGCCAGTTCCTTACAGGCTTGAATGTTCCTGAACACTGCCTCTTCCAGACCAGAGTAGTGCTGTGGGATGACCAAGCAAAAACAAACGGTACAGTCAGCACTTTTTCTTGTTTTTTTTAACATTATATCCCATGCCCAGTAAGAAAAAGTACGAAACATTTGTGCGCTCACTTCTGTAATTGGTTCTAGATAACCGCATCTAGTAAATTACACATGTAATGTAAAATGCCTATGCTTATGCCATGATACAAATAAAGGGTACAGAAAATAACATTTCCAAAGCAAGGACAGTGAAATACTTGATTTGATTTTTAGAACAAACATTTGTACTAGTTGTGCATATTAGCTAACTATTTCCATTGAAGATTTAACTTCCTAATGGAACAATACCGGAGGCAAAAAAAACTGAATCTATGGATACATCTGAATTTTACATTGCTGATTAATGTTAGTTCATTATTGTATCCATATAAAACCGGTTGACGCATAAATGTGAGCGTGAGACCTGCGGCTCTTTGAGGCAACGCCTTATTACGCACTAATCGGACCAATGGCGAAGCTAATCTGTGATGCTAGCTGGTTTGCCAGAAGATACCGACCCTGCCCTTAAACTTGTTTACACTGAGCTGCACTGGGGTCTGAACGCAAATCATGGTTACATTAAGACACCGTGGAGGCTGCGCAAGATAAGGATCAGAAAACCGTGGAGTAGAGAGCGCCATATTTATGATATGGCGCTCTCTACTGGTGATTTAGAGAATTACAAACATTTGAATTCTTGCTGCTTCCAACTCTTCCTAGGTAAATAATACTGACTGGTGCTTTTAATAGCCACATATGCTTTTAAACAAGGATAATAACAATGGGTTATATTTTAGTATCACTAAAAAGGTCACGTGATTAACTGTTTGAACTCAACGCAGGGTTGCATATTTTCGGTAACTTTCCCAAAATGTTCCTGAAATCCCGGTTGGAAGTTTCCTGAAATCAGAAGGGAATAAGCAGAGAATCTGGGAATCATCCAACCAGGATTTCTGTAACACCTGGGAATTCTGGGAAAGTTGGTGGAATTTTGCAACCCTAAACTCAAGCTGCTCTGGAGTTCATATTTATTGGATTAGATGGAAGGTAATGGGTTCGATCCCCGGGACCACCCATACACAAAAATGTATGCACGCATGACTGTAAGTCAAGTCGCTTTGGATAAAAGCATCTGCTAAATGGCATATTATTATTATTATTAAAACAACTCATTGCTGGGATATGCCACTGTACTCCAAATTATGCCTTTATCCACACTGCTGAAATGCTGCATGTTTTCGTCCTCATGCTAACTAGCAGTAGACACGTTGAACAACAAAGGAATGAGCTGATTGGTTGACACTGCCATTCCAAAATGGCAGGGATGTAGCTCAGTTGGTAGAGCATGGTGTTTGCAACGCCAGGGTTGTGGGTTCGTTTCCCACAGGGGGCCAGTATGAAAAAAATCAAAAAATAATGTATGCACTAACTGTAAGTCGCTCTGGATAAGAGCGTCTGCTAAATGACTAAAAATGTAAATGGTTGGCTATTGCTAGATAGCATGAGGATGAAAACGGCAGTTTTCATGGAAAACTAGCAGTATTTCAATTGTCGATGTACCAGTGTGGATAATGGTCAAATTTGGAGTACAGTTCCATTGGCGTCTTAACGTAACCATGATTGCGTTCTGAACCCAGTGCAGCTCAGTGTACGCCAGCGTAACTGTAGGGTCGGTATCTTCTGGCAACTAGCTGGCTAACTAGCTACTAATCAAATTCCTTAACGTTAGCAAGGTGGCTATTAATGTTAGCTGGCTGAGGATGCTAACCATCGAAGGGAGCAAGTCAATTGTAGCTAAACCACTCCCATTTCTACAACATATCTTAAAATCATATTTTAACCCTAACCACACTGCTAACATTACGCCTAAACTTAAATTAAGAACAAAAAGCTCATTTTAGTTTTCATTAATTTTTAGGATAGCCAATTTTGACTTTGTGGCGGTTGTAACTAACTTTAAGTGACAACCTCATCTTAGGTCACTACAGTAGCTAACACCTACGCAGTGACAAAAAAAAAACACAATTGTAGCTATCTAATAGCTGCAGATAAAACGTCAACAGTATCCGGACTACTTTCTTTAAATGATTTTAGTGGTCATCTAAATATATCGACAAGACAGACGAGTATCTAGTTAGTTCATCTTTGTATGAATGAATGAATGATAGTCCGCATGGGATGCTAGTTGACTACCGTTAACTATGCTACCGAAAATCATTGCCGTTGACTAGCCAGTGAAGATGCTGAGGCTAGCTAGCTAGCACATCATAGCAACCAACCACATGTTGGCAATGCGTAAACACATTTTATCCCATCAACTACATACATAGAAAAATAAACTTTCCGCGACATTTCAACTGAGACATTAAGCAATTTCCAAAGCGAGATGAAAAGTGCCTCGGGTATCGAGGTTTGATGCAAAAGGCGGGGAGGAAAAAAATATTTTGCGGCCTAAGCGGCTTTCTAGAACTCTCCACATGACTTGACACAGTGCGTGACTGAGCTTCCCCTTGCACAGTCGCAGTACCACTCTTTGCTTTAGATTTTGGGTTTATTTTAACGTTTGTTGGTCTTACCTTTGCGCCATCCTTCAACATTTGGGCGAAGCCCGGTGCTTTCGGTACGTGCATAGCCATTTTTCTGTTGTTTAGCAGCCCCTGTATCCAAGAGAAGGTGGCGGCAGCGTGGGGTTCGGCAGTTGCACAAAGCCAGAAGAGAGAAAGGGAGGAGCTCTGTCAAAAAGGCGTCCACAACTACGGAGGGATGCAGAGGACATACATTACATTAGGCGTTTTCGAATAAATAAATAAATAAAAGTGTTTGCTGTGAACTCAACATAGGTGGGGGCACACTGCTCTTTCTGACTGTCATTGTTAATACAGACGGTCCATACATGTTAACAACTATTGTTTTATGGACACAATCTGTCGTTTTCCAGTAAGCTAATTTCAAAAAAAAAATCCAACTATGGATGGACGGATGAATGTACAAATGAATCAAAATCAGATCAAAGTGTATTGTTCGCATTCACAGTTTAGCAGATGTTATAGCGGGTGCAGCTAGCTAGCTCCTATCAAGTACACAAATTATTAATCAAGAAAGGTCGGAACGAATGTAATTAACAACCAAAATAGCACTGTAACAGTAATCCAAATGCAATATATACGCCTCCTGAGTGGCGCAGTGGTCTAAGGCACTGAATCGCAGTGCTAGCTGTGCCACTAGGGATCCTGGTTCGAATCCAGGCTCTGTCGTAGCCGGCCGCGACCGGGAGACCCATGGGGCGGTGCACAATTGGCCAAGCGTCGTCCAGGGTAGGGGAGGGAATGGCCAGCAGGGATGTAAAAAAAAGAAGAAATATATTCACTAACTGTAAGTCGCTCTGGATAAGAGCAAATGTACATATGTACACCGGATGAATTTACATAAGATATACTAAGAATGGTAGTAATGTACAGCAATAGATATATTAGAGTGAGCTATGTCAAGAATCCAGTACATAAATACATGTGTGGTGTGTGTAAACAGTGTAACTGAAATGCAGTAGTAGAAGTATTAGAATGAGCCCTCTCCTCTTCTCTCTATACCCCAAGTCACTCAGCTCTGTCATATCCTCACATGGTCTCTCCTATCATTGCTAAGCGGACGACACTCAACTACTTTTCTCCTTCTCCCCCCCCCTTCTGACACCCAGATGGTGACAAGAGTGTGCAAAGCTGTCATCAAGGCAAAGGGTGGCTATTTGAAGAATCTCAAATATATATAATAATATGCCATTTAGCAGACGCTTTTATCCAAAGCGACTTGCAGTCATGCGTGCATACATTTTTTTTTTGTGTGTGTATGGGTGGTCCCGGTGATCAAACCCACTACCTTGGCGTTACAAGCGCCGTGCTCTACCAGCTGAGGTACAGAGGACCACTCCTCTGATTTGTTTAACAATTTTTTGGTTACTACATTTACATTTACATTTACGTCATGATTCCATATGTGTTATTTCACAGTTTTGATGTCTTCACTATTATTCTACAATGTAGAAAATAGTAAAAAACTAAAACAAAAAAGTAGGTGTTCTAAAACCTTTGACTGGTAGTGTATTTATTTTCATAAGCGCAACGTGACTGCAAGAGACAGGTTGGAATGTCTGACTGAAATATGTGAAATAAATCAACAAATTATTATTCTTTTTCTAAATTAGTGGTGTTTGAATTTGTCTACCAGAGCCAAATAATTGAATGTTCATTTCTCTACTATAAGCCTCCTCCAACATAATTTTAGAGAATTTGGCAGTACGTCCAACCGGTCTCACTACCGCAGACCACGTGTAACCATGCCAGCCCAGGACGTCCACATCTGGCTTCTCCACATGCGGGATCGTCTGTGGCCAGCCACCAGGACAACTGATGAAACTGTGGGTTTGCACAACGGAAACATTTCTGCACAAACTGTCAGAAAACATCTCAGTGGGTGCTCGTCTTCCTCACCAGGGTCTTGATCTGACTGCAGTTCGGCATCATAACTGAACACAAGGGGGCATTGTTTTCAAACTCAACTGATACTCTGTAATCATTTTACATTTACATTTTAGTCATTTAGCAGACGCTCTTATCCAGAGCGACTTACAGGAGCAATTAGGGTTAAGTGCCTTGCTCAAGGGCACATTAACGTCATTTAGCAGACGCTCTTAGCCAGAGCGACTCGCAAATTGGTGCGTTCACCCTATAGCCAGTGGGATAACCACTTTACAATTTGGGGGGGGGGGGGGGGGGGGGGGGGGGGGGGGATCCAAAGGTTAGCAATGCTAACAAGTACATGTAAATTCCCATAGAGAATGCCAACTAAATGCCAACGAGCGCATTGCGAACATTTTTATACACTCTCTGACCTAAACTATACAAGTATACAAGTAACAAAGAAATGCTACCCACATTTTGCTGCACGCACAAAACAAATATTAGCCAGCAAGGGTCTTGATCCAGGAGGGGATTCTCTGCTGTTACCAAGTGAATGCTTGATTTTGGAAGAAGCAAACCCCTTAGCTAGAGGTGAAATGAAGAACACAATGCAGTGTTTCCCAACCCTGGTCCTCCAGTACCCCCCAACAGTGTTTCCCAACCCTGGTCCTCCAGTACCCCCCAACAGTGTTTCCCAACCCTGGTTCTCCAGTATCCCCAACAGTGTTTCCCAACCCTGGTCCTCCAGTACCCCCAACAGTGTTTCCCAACCCTGGTCCTCCAGTACCCCCAACAGCGTTTCCCAACCCTGGTCCTCCAGTACCCCCAACAGTGTTTCCCAACCCTGGTCCTCCAGTACCCCCAACAGTGTTTCCCAACCCTGGTCCTCCAGTACCCCCAACAGTGTTCCCCAACCCTGGTCCTCCAGTACCCCCAACAGTGTTTCCCAACCCTGGTCCTCCAGTTCCCCCAACAGTGTTCCCCAACCCTGGTCCTCCAGTACCCCCAACAGTGATTCCCAACCCTGGTCCTCCAGTACCCCCCAACAGTGTTTCCCAACCCTGGTCCTCCAGTACCCCCAACAGTGATTCCCAACCCTGGTCCTCCAGTACCCCCAACAGTGTTTCCCAACCCTGGTCCTCCAGTACCCCCAACAGTGTTTCCCAACCCTGGTCCTCCAGTACCCCCAACAGTGTTCCCCAACCCTGGTCCTCCAGTACCCCCAACAGTGTTTCCCAACCCTGGTCCTCCAGTTCCCCCAACAGTGTTCCCCAACCCTGGTCCTCCAGTACCCCCAACAGTGATTCCCAACCCTGGTCCTCCAGTACCCCCAACAGTGTTTTCCCAACCCTGGTCCTCCAGTACCCCCAACAGTGTTTCCCAACCCTGTTCCTCCAGTACCCCCAACAGTGATTCCCAACCCTGGTCCTCCAGTACCCCCAACAGCGTTTCCCAACCCTGGTCCTCCAGTACCCCCCAACAGTGTTTCCCAACCCTGGTCCTCCAGTACCCCCAACAGTGTTCCCCAACCCTGGTCCTCCAGTACCCCCAACAGTGTTCCCCAACCCTGGTCCTCCAGTACCCCCAACAGTGTTTCCCAACCCTGGTCCTCCAGTACCCCCAACAGTGTTTCCCAACCCTGGTCCTCCAGTACCCCCCAACAGTGTTTCCCAACCCTGGTCCTCCAGTACCCCCAACAGTGTTTCCCAACCCTGGTCCTCCAGTACCCCCAACAGTGTTTCCCAACCCTGGTCCTCCAGTACCCCCAACAGTGTTTCCCAACCCTGGTCCTCCAGTACCCCCCAACAGTACACCTTTTTATTGTAACCCTGGACAATCACACCTGATTCAACTTGTCAACTAATCATCAAGCCCTTGATGAGTTGAATGAGGTGCTTTTTTCCAGGGCTACAGCGAAAATGTGTACAGTTGGGGGGTACTCGAGGACTGGATTTGGGAAACACTGACACAATGTTATTGATCTCCTAACGTATTGCACAAGTTGACTGCAGGTATTTAGTTCAAAAGTATATGGTATATATGGTATAATGCCCAAGCCTAAAGGACATTGTGGACAACATCACAGACAGTCCCTACAGTAGGTAGCCTGGACAACATCACAGACTCCCTACGGTAGGTAGCCTGGACAACATCACAGACTCCCTACGGTAGGTAGCCTGGACAACATCACAGACAGTCCCTACAGTAGGTAGCCTGGACAACATCACAGACAGTCCCTACAGTAGGTAGCCTGGACAACATCACAGACAGTCCCTACGGTAGGTAGCCTGGACAACATCACAGACAGTCCCTACAGTAGGTAGCCTGGACAACATCACAGACAGTCCCTACGGTAGGTAGCCTGGACAACATCACAGACAGTCCCTACAGTAGGTAGCCTGGACAATATCACAGACAGTCCCTACAGTAGGTAGCCTGGACAACATCACAGACAGTCCCTACGGTAGGTAGCCTGGACAACATCACAGACTCCCTACGGTAGGTAGCCTGGACAACATCACAGACTCCCTACGGTAGGTAGCCTGGACAACATCACAGACAGTCCCTACAGTAGGTAGCCTGGACAACATCACAGACAGTCCCTACGGTAGGTAGCCTGGACAACATCACAGACTCCCTACGGTAGGTAGCCTGGACAACATCACAGACTCCCTACGGTAGGTAGCCTGGATAACATCACAGACAGTCCTTACGGTAGGTAGCCTGGACAACATCACAGACTCCCTACGGTAGGTAGCCTGGACAACATCACAGACAGTCCCTACGGTAGGTAGCCTGGACAACATCACAGACAGTCCCTACAGTAGGTAGCCTGGACAACATCACAGACAGTCCCTACGGTAGGTAGCCTGGACAACATCACAGACAGTCCCTACAGTAGGTAGCCTGGACAACATCACAGACTCCCTACGGTAGGTAGCCTGGACAACATCACAGACAGTCCCTACAGTAGGTAGCCTGGACAACATCACAGACAGTCCCTACGGTAGGTAGCCTGGACAACATCACAGACAGTCCCTACAGTTGGTAGCCTGGACAACATCACAGACAGTCCCTACGGTAGGTAGCCTGGACAACATCACAGACAGTCCCTACGGTAGGTAGCCTGGACAACATCACAGACAGTCCCTACGGTAGGTAGCCTGGACAACATTACAGACAGTCCCTACGGTAGGTAGCCTGGACAACATCACAGACAGTCCCTACAGTTGGTAGCCTGGACAACATCACAGACAGTCCCTACAGTTGGTAGCCTGGACAACATCACAGACAGTCCCTACAGTTGGTAGCCTGGACAACATTACAGACAGTCCCTACAGTAGGTAGCCTGGACAACATCACAGACAGTCCCTACGGTAGGTAGCCTGGACAACATCACAGACAGTCCCTACGGTAGGTAGCCTGGACAACATCACAGACAGTCCCTACGGTAGGTAGCCTGGACAACATTACAGACAGTCCCTACAGTTGGTAGCCTGGACAACATCACAGACAGTCCCTACAGTTGGTAGCCTGGACAACATCACAGACAGTCCCTACAGTAGGTAGCCTGGACAAAATCACAGACACTCTATGGTACAGTGAGGGGAAAAAAGTATTTGATCCCCTGCTGATTTTGTATGTTTGCCCACTGACAAAGACATGATCAGTCTATAATTTTAATGGTA